GAAGATGGATAATGAAGAAAACACAGAGATTGAGTAAGTCTGTAATGATGGAGAAGAAAATGCACGTCTTTCTCATGGCTATCATAAGTACTGTATTTTGAAACAGCGTGCCAGTTGTGAAGCACACTGTGTAATACACACTCAATACAGTTGCTAGGGACTCGGTAAACATAAACTACAGGTAAAATTCAGTATTGCATGCATAAATACCGTACGTTCATGTTATGTGGAGAACTTAGCTACTTCTCTAGCCAGATAGCCAAAACAGACCAAGTAACAAGTCTCATGGTTATGGTGGTAAGTATAAACGTGTGCAGGAAAGTTTCTGTTGAATTTATTAGCTAGGGTGTCAGTCAGCATACACATAGTTTAAAAGCATGGATGTGCTTGATATGTTATGCTATAAATTATATGGCATTGACGTGGGAATTTCTTGGCCAATTGGAGAGCATTTATGGTATTAATCTGTGAATGATATCTGTAAATTTCCATTTTTACAGTAACATTATACCAAAAGTACAAGAACGTGTGTTGAAATAAGTCAAGATGAACAGAAACACAGGCAATCAAGCGAGGGATTCGATCTATCCATATCCTCCATACCACTAACTCCATGTGTTGGATTAATTTACACAACTAGTAACACGGATAGAGCTTGACCGAATACATTCCAAAACCCAAGATAGCTGGAGGTGGGCATAGGCAAGTCTGTATTTATGTATAACATCTTGATAACATGTGTATACTAGCCTGGTTAGATTCTAACTAAGTGTTATAGTCTTTAATATAGACATAGGTGACTGTGTTTCTTTGATAGTGTCTAGGTTTCAGGAAACATCCCCTACTAGTTCAGAAAAGAGAATTCCCGTCTCAATTTAAAGTTATTGGCACCCCAGAGAGTTTTATACTCTAAGAATTGCGCGCACAATTCTAGTGTAATGTTCTCAAAGTTTATGATGGCAACTGTGTGGCGACCTGCACACGCTGATCGTACAGTGTCTTCACATAGTACACCAGAATGCATCACGATACTCATGTACACCTCATCCCTTGGAGGGAAAAACTCTTTGCGAAAACCAGAAATGCTGTACAAAATTGTTCCTAGGGCTGGCAGCAGGTGCTTAATAATGTTTCACACAGGTTACTGCTAGTGTGTTGATGTACAATATATACCAACGTCCGTCCTGTAGACTAAGGACATGAATGATGTCAAAAGGTGTGGGTGCAGAGGCCTACAACCCAACCCATGCATCCTCCACTACATCCAAAAAAAAATCAGTAACACGGCAGAGAAGTCTTGTAGCTAGTGGGCAGTAACCTATGAAAAAAGTCGCAAAAGTGTGATGAGTTATTTATCTTTACGGTCTGATATATTACACTACATAATTAAAGTTTATAAGTATGTATGGCAATTATTTCTTGAAAAATATCAAAGATGCTATTTTAAATCGCAAAATGTTTAAATGAAAAAACTGAATCCTCCTAGGCTTAGACCTGATTGTTCCCTTCTCGCAATGTAAATTGCTCCCACCCCTATGCGGGGGATATATACATTAGCCCATGCAATTCTATCAGAGACGTAGTAGCTCTCACCGTTTGGAACATTAGCTCCCAGTGTCAGGCAAATTAAAATTGTTTGTGGACACTCCACGGCGGCCAGAGCGCAGTTCGCAAGTGTCAAATCGTAGAGGCAATATTGCTTGGGCTGTATACCGTGCCGGTTAAAGCAATGGCAGGCTTTACAGCACTTTGAAAGTTACAGGAGGACTACGTACTAATGAACTCCCTAAACACCATAGGGGGACTTTCAAGCTCCACATAATCACACCCTTAAGAGCCAGTGATGGAGAGGCATCCAATTAAAAAATCACACGCCTTAAGAGCAGATGCGCAGTGATGGAGAGCTCCACTAAAAATCACACCCTTAAAAGGGTCTGCGCATTGTTTAAAGATACGATACCGAAGGTGTATGAGAAGCTGCATTCCATTGGCTACTGAAATCTAGCAGTGGCTAGAATAGATAACCCAGTCAGGGCTCGCGGATCCCCCCATTGGCAGACATTGACAACTCTATGGACAGGGAAAACCCAGTCTCAAGGCCACGCGTGACGCGGCGGCTTTTGATGGTAGCACGATCGATCGATCGCGGTACTAATACTACTATATATACGGCCTGCGTAGACGCTTGCGGGCATACACACACACACACACACATTGCAGCGTTCAAAATAAACGCACACACTGGCCAACGCTGACAATCTCAACCAGTGAACTAAGCCGTGTCTATTATTGTAAAGCGAACTATAATTAGCAATGGTATTAAATGGAAGGTACTGTTAAGTAGGCTGTTGGACTGTAAAATGAAAATTTGTAGCATTCTAACCCGCAGGGCTCGAATTAAGCGACGCGAAAGGGCGAAGGCAATTTTTTTAAAGGGGCATGTGAACAAATCGCCTTGAAATGTTACTAAATGGAAGGGCACAGAGGCAAATTTTAAACAAGCACGCAAGACAACTCTCAAATTGAGAAAGGAACAACAAGGCACGTTTAAAAATAAAGGGAAAACTATAACAAATTAAATTATTACATCAACAATCGTCGCTTGCTTTTAATGACCGAAAACAATACCACGCCATCGTAAGCCTTACAACCGTAACACCGACCACCTGTACCCCGCTCCTGGCTAAGAAGTACAGTAAACAACAATTTACAGCTGCTCGCGCTATCCAGGAGCGAATAATTATCGCGATGCTGTTATTACTTCCCTCCTGCGACTATCGTTTACGGCTCATCATTGCACTACAGCACGCTACAGGCGCACGTGTTATGTTGACCGACTAAAAACGAAACTAGGGCAGTAATAAATGGGCACCTGACCAGCAAAAGCAAGGGCAAGGCAGGTGACTGCCGTCGGTCGGTTAGATTTTCAGAGGGCATACACGGCGATTGATATGGGGCAACCGGACGGCAATTGCCTGTCGGTGCCTTCGTTAAGTTCGAGCCATGCTAACCCCCCTAAAATTTCTCTCACGGATTTAGACCGTTTCACAAAATCGAAGCCCTGGAGCTGGAAATCCGCGGATGTCCGCGGATCCGCAGAAGATTCTCAATCCCTGTAAAATGGAGCGTATTTCAACAATCAATAAACACAGAACTTTTGGTGCGCGATTTAACCAGCTTTTGAGGCTGCGATGATTGCGCGCACATGGCAACAATTTACTGGTGCGCGTGGAGCGCGAGCGCGGATTGCGCCCTTAAAATGAAAGCGCCTGCATGTCTATTGCTTGTTTGGCAGTACTGAATCCATTCTAATTGACATGTTTTCAGTTAGTAATGATGTACACATTTATTGCAAATATTTATATTTTGCATAGAAAATTCACTATCAGGCTTGTGGAATTATTTGTGTTTTGCTTAGGAAAATTAATGCTGTTAGAATGACTGAATAGAAAAAATATTGTACAGAATGTCTCCAAGGATGCAACAAATAGCTTCTTCTTTGAAACCAAGGTTGTGATTGACATGGTTGTTTCGGGCAATCATAAGAAATATTACGCCATAATAATTAGGTTGGCATCTCTGGGCAAGGAGGGGTGGGAAGAGCCATCCACGTTAAGTAAGGGAGGGGGAATACATGTCAAGTAGAGCGCACCAGCGGAAGTGAAGAGGCAATTCCGGCAAGTGAGGAAGGCAAACCACGACAAAGGGAGCGAGGCGAACCACAGACAAGTTGAGCAGGCAACCACGACAAGGAGGAGGCAACGCACGACCAAGGGAGAGGCAACCACGGCAAGGAGAGGCAACCACGACAAGGTGAGGAAGGCCAACCACGACAAGGGAGGAGGCAACATGACAATGAGGAAGGCAACCACGCGACAAGGGACGGAGGCCAACCACGAGCAAGGGAGAAGCACACCACGACAAGTGGCAGGCAACCACCGACAATGAGAGGCAACCCACACAAAGGAGGAGGCAACCGAACGACAGTAGGTAGGAGGCCAACCACGACAAGTGGAGCAGCGAACCTATGACAAGTGAGGAGGCAACCACACGACCAAGGGAGGAGGCAAGCCACAACAAGGTAGGAGGCAACCGACGACAAAGTGCAGCAGGCAACGCCACGACAAGGGAGCAGGAACCACAGACAAGTGAGGAGCGCAACCAACGCAGATGGGTCGTAGCTACAATTTTTTCAGGCGGGGGGGGGGGGGGGGCACTCAGGGCCTATTAAACATTTTCGTGGGGGGGGGCACAATATATACACTTCTTTGTTATACTGTTACTATACGGCAATACGCAAGTTTTTTAATTCAATTTTTTTTTTTATCAAAGCATGGAATTTTTAGTGGGGCAACCCTGGGGGGGCACACAAAATTTCCCCAGGCCCCCCCGTAGCTACGCCCCTGCAACCACGGCAAGTGAGGAGGCAACCACGACAAGTGAGGAGGCAACCACGGCAAGGGAGGAGGCAACCACGGCAAGGGAGGAGGCAAACCCAACGACAAGTGAGCAGGCAACCACGACAAGTGAGAAGCCAACCACACAATGGTGACAAGTGAGGAGCCAACCATTGACAAGGAGGAGCAACCCACGACAGCGGAGACAGGCGAAACCCACGACAAGGGAGAAGGCAACCACGGCAAGTGAGGAGCCAACCATGACAAGGGAGGAGGCAACCACGACAAGGGAGGAGGCAACCACGACAAGGGAGGAGGCAAACCACAGCAAGGGAGGAGCAAAACCAACGGCAAAGGGAGGAGGCAGGCCACTGACAAGGGAGGAGGCAACCACGACAAGGGGGAGGCAACGCCAACAGGGAGGAGGCAACCAACGCAAGGAGGAGGCAAGCCACGACAAGGGAGGAGGCAACCACGACAAGGGAGGAGGCAACCCCAACAAGGGAGGAGGCAACCACAGCATTTTCTCTCGTTGCCGTTGTGAAACCCGGGCATCAATGGTGCGTTGCTAACCGGCCGTGCGTGTTTCATTGTTCGATGCAGCGTGGTGCTTGGTCCCGAGCGTTACGTGACGATCCCGAAAAGGCATTACTGCGTCATCGAGAACCCGGTGCTGCGTGACAACCACGGCAGGGTCGTGCGTGACGCCTTTGTGCAGGTGAAGCTGCGGCATGCTGACCTTGAGGTCAGACTCGCACAGGAACCCTTCCCACTCTATCCTGGAGAGGTCCTGAAGCAGGTACAACTTTGGCGTGCGTAACATCTAGTGAGCAGGATGTAACTGGGCTGTAGAATCTGTATTAGCCAGTTACATCTATAAATGAGACACCTGTCTATCAATGGCACGTTTGCCATTTTCTTCCAGGCCTAATAGAACAGTCACTTGTCTATAAAGGTTACTTTTTCAGTTGCTCTCAGTCTTGATATTTGAAAAATAATGGTAAACAAGATGTGATGATGATAGTGGTGTGTGACTACTGCTGATAACTGACTGATGTTTGATTTCCATAGCCTGTGTCTCCACTGACAGTAGTAATCGCTAATAAAGCTCTGAGACTGCGAGCTATCATTGACTTTGAAGATGGTGACAGCAGTGAAAAACGGCTTGCTGGAGATGAATGGCTATTCGAAGGACCAGGTAATAATGTGACCCTCTAGACTAGAATGGTAAGAAGCAGAGTGATGAAGAGAGGAGGGAGAGGGTTGAGAAGAGTGAAGGAAAGGAAAGGGGTTGATGAGGGATAAGAAAATGAGGAAGGGAGTGACAAGGTTGGGACAGTAGTGAGGGAAGAAGAAGAATAAGAACAAGTGAGGGGTACGTGTCAGTGAGCGTAGGCTAGAGGATTAGGGGAGGAATGAAGGAGAAGATAGCAAAGGATGGAGTCTTCTAGCTGCTTGCTATCAGGGTTCTGTTGGTTACTATGCCTATGTATATAATTATATAATAATGATACTGTAAAACTCTTGATTATTTCCATACAATTTACAAATTTATTTCACTGTACACTCTGTCCATATTCTCGTTTCCTTTCTCTCTCTCGTCGCTCTTTCTGACTCGTCTCACACGTCTGCTCTCTCTGCTCACTCTGCCTAACCCTTTTACACCTCCACCTCTGCTCTCTGTGACCACTGTGTCGGACTGTCGGGCGCTTGGCACATCATAATCATGCCCCCTCCGCATTCTTATCATTAACGTGAAGACTACATTATGCCCAAATAATTTGCTGACATATGTAATATACACAACACTACGTCATCACATAATATTATCCGCACTTTAAAGCAATATTTCACCTACGCTCTTCCCCACTTGACTCAATATTGAGTCAAGCTAACTCAGAACCTATCCTCTTGTTTTCTGTTTAGCTTTTGTAACTGTTAACCTTTCCTGTTTTTCCCTCCAATTTCCTTTTATGTGTCACTAGATCACCAACCTAAAACCCTTCTAAAATTTTCTTGCCATACTCTGCGTCCGGCTCTTTATACCTAGATTCGCAATGTTGATTTGATGAAAAGGACCATGCATTCAAACCAAATACTACATGACAAAAGTAACTCGATTATCTTCTCAATTATACCTATTTTTTCTGTAATTGTTGTATCGTACTCTTCTAGCAGTTCTGATTTTTCCTTGGCTTCTGAACCTGCCCTTTCATTCTTACAAGATGTAGATTAATTGATTGGAAGTGCTTTATGGCCTTTTTTCCGTGGCAACTTAACTGAGAACTTTTGCACAGTAAATCTTACATTTAATATCTGCAGACTCGTCACATGTGTCATCACCTTTTTTATTCCCAGAGTTTCTAAATTCCACAACTTATGGATATCCCTGCCAATACTGTTCCAATCTATGGGTGGTTGAACCGTGCTGCTTATCTGTTTTCAATGGCCCAGACAGTACACCTAGTGCTGTTCCTACCACTATAGGCTGATCTGGCTCTCTCGTATTGCATGACCATTCTGGAATTACAACAAATAGTCTGCTCCTAATACGTCTATCTTTAACCCATTCTTCTCCCTACACACATCTGAAAACTACAGATTTCTCAAATGTGCATATTCCTTCTTCACAATTTCTACATGCTTGTTACATTACGCCTTTGCTGTAACAAATGATTTTTGACTCGCAGAGTCGAACAATACTCCAGCCATTCCCTGTCCTTTCCCCTTAACCCTACATAGGACAGTTTGCAATGTCACTGTGCCCAGTTCCCGCATGCATGCCTGACGAATCACATGTTACAGAACTTGTGTATATTTCTCTCATAATGTGTTTAACTTATGTCATGTACACAGTGACATGTGATGTTAACTCTTACAGTTTTTACACCTTATACAACGAATGTACAACCACAGGCATGGTGTCCTTTCCTTATACGCTTGAAACACTTGGCATACTTGTGCAGGGGTCTTTATATTCCTTTACATTTTTAACTTTTAAACAGTACTCATGGCCCTGTTTGGCCAAACAAAATAAACATCTACTGTTGCCTTCTTTTCCATTGAACAAGGTGGTAGCTGTATCTCAAGAATATTCTGCTATACCTGTATTTTAAATGTACCAGTTTCTTATACTTCGATCTTGAGGTCATTCTGATCTCATTATCTTCTTTCTCACTCAACAGTTTTCTTTGTACTATCTTTGCATCGTATGAAGTTTCTCTGCCAGTAAAATTTTATTCTACGTTAATCTTCTTTGCTCTGTTCTTGTACTCGGCATGTTAGCACCTTCATCCATACTCTCGACCATGTCACAACAAGCTTTGTGACATAAGATCTATGTCCACCGCGTATTTTCTTCTTTTTTGTTAACTCGTCCATTATTGCAGCATATCCTGCAGCGATCCAGCTCGGCGGACCACGTTTTTGCAGCATTTCGATATTGGCTTCCGCTGGTCACTACTCTCATGTATACATCATTGCACTATAAGACTTGCTTATTTACATACAATTTAGGCATTTATTTCCATTCTGTCCATATTCTCTTTCCTTCTGACCCTTTCTGACTCCCTTCACGTCCACTCTCTCCGATCACTGCCCGTCTCTCCCACACGTCCACTCTCTCCGATCACTGCCCGTCTCTCCCACACGTCCACTCTCTCCGATCAAGATCACTGCCCGTCTCTCCCACACGTCCACTCTCTCCGATCACTGCCCGTCTCTCCCACACGTCCACTCTCTCCGATCACTGCCCGTCTCTCCCACACGTCCACTCTCACTTGTCGCTCTGCCTGACCTTTTCACACCTATATGTCTGCTCTCTGTGACCAATCTGCCCGACTCCCTGGCGCCCGCATGCATCGTAATCATGGCCTCCCCCCCGACATTCTTACCTTCAACATATACACTCTATTATGCCCAAATAATTTGCCTGGGGGGACAAAATATACACAGCAATACGTCATTACATAATAATACACGAACATTGAAACATTATTTCACGACAAGGAAGGAAGGAGGGAAGAAATGGGGACGAAAGGAAGAAGGGAATGGCTGCAATAGTAACGCTACAGCATGTGCATGGTCACTCTCATCTTGACACTTGCTGAATAGAAATCTTCTAAATTATATAGGACAGTTGCATGATTGATCAGTTTGTAGCTTGTGTACGCAGTAATCTTATTAACTGCTGGTAGTCCCAATCATCAGTGGGGCTATCTAATAATTTGTGTTGGTGAGGGTACACTTACTTAGTGGACAATTGTATGCTGTGTATTGTTACATATGAATGACAATGTGCCTCTGTATAGGAACCTACATCCCTCGTAAGGAGGTGGTGGTAGAGGAACCAGTAAGTGCTGTGATTGTGAAACCCAACCAAGCCATCAGACTGAGAGCCAGGAAGGAGACTAAAGACCGTAGTGGAGTCGACAGGGTTTCGGGTAAGGTACTTATAAGGAAGGCACTCTGGCATGGGTCCTGTTGCAAAATTAATCTTAGTTACACTGTAATCACATGGACTACTAGGTTTTACTAATGCACCGTGTATTGTTGGCAAGGTTTAATTAGCAGGTATCAAATGTGACCATTCCATTGCATCGTGTGTGATCGTAGCTTTAACATGTTGATATAAAGGTGAGGAATGGTTGGTGGGGAAGACAGGAGCATATCTGCCCGGACCATACGAAGAAGTTGTGGACATTATCAGTGCACACGTACTGACTGAGAAGGTATGTCTGGCATCCTGGATTAGGATGTTAAATCTGGATTATGAATATAAATGCTATGGATATTATACGTTTAATGTGCAATCAATAATCTAATGGATATACACAAACAGAACTGCATTTGGTATTTGTTGATTAACGTATCTATCTAAAATGCATTACAGAAAAGCCCTTCATATTAAAGCGCACACGAACCTTCAAGAGATAACTTTGCGAATTGTGCGAATAGAGTGGAGAAAAATGGTTGATCAAGTTTACGTGACACAGAGACACACATACCTGATGTGTACGAGGAGGTAGGTTGCGATAAGAATAATGCCTGGTAAGCTAAGATAACAATCCAATTATCACAGCTATGAGTATCATAACACGAAACGGTTTGGTTCTCGTTTTAGCAGAATAATAATATGCTGCTTAATGGGCAATACTATCAACCTAGTTCTAACTAATTGCATTTAAAATGGATAGTTTTGCCGTAATTAATCCCGTTTTTCTGTTGTGCACTATGTATTATTAGCTCTTGATATATATATATATATATATATTTATTATTTATATATATGCATACTGTGCATACTGTCTAGCTTAAAGGACAATTGAAGTCAAATTTTATAACTTCTTAACGTCTTTTATGACATAGAAATACATTCAATAACGGTATCCGATTTCAAAATCTCGTGCCCCAATTAAGTAAGAAACACATGAATATAATGCTAGGTCATGTGGAAGTCAACCAAGGGCCCCATGTTGAAACACATGTATAGCGTATATAGCGTAATATATACCATTATATAGCGTAACAGTGCTAACACGCTAGTATATGTTATGCTAGGTGAAAGTATTGTTAGCAAGCATACAACAAACATGTAGGCCTGTTAATGTACTTATATTCATGTACATAACTATATTACAATGTGTGGATAATGCAATTCAACGGTATATGTACCTGACTTTGCCGTAGAGATGTTGTACATGTACCGATACATGTATTCTGACCGAGCGTGATAAGCCCGGTGATGACAGTGTACTCGCATGCCTCACCTGGTCTAGCGTCGAACTGGTACAATCTTACTATAATTTGCCGAATGTTGTATGTATGTATGTATGTTAATGAAAGGCTCCCGTTCAGTTTGGATCCAAAATAGCGGCCAAATTATCAGAAGAGATCGATGGAGTACACGACGGGTTCTAAATCTATACTCGGTTGAAAACGCGTTTGTTCGGTCATTAAACGAAACACAAAAAAACCAAAAAGTGTAAACATTGCCTGAAAGGGGGCGCTGTTTTGTTTTCGTTCTGTTTGCTATTTCGAATCGTTGTGTATCAACAGGTTTCAATTTCGTGTTGTTGCTGTGTACTCTGTTCTGTGTCGTGTGTGTCTGAGATTTTTGTAAGCCCCATAATGTTAAGAGATAATAACCATCGTAAATAATGAATTTAAATATTCACTAGCTATTTGCCCATAGGTTTCCCATATGAGATGTACAAGTAATTCATCAGAGTCAGATTTATTTTATGGAGTCGCAATGCCTGTACAGTGTACGGTGTCGTGAACACAGCGATCTGTCACAAGCAGTCTGAATCACTAAGGCACGTAATATTATCGGCGTCCGCACAGAGTGCAAAACATTGCGTAAGAATAAGCGATCACAACCACCGCAATAATTACCTTGGTACCGCACACAGTGGAAACTGCGAAGCACGTAAATTACGTTTACGTTATTATTACATTCACATCTATCTATATTACTCACTTGGAGTCCGTACATCAGCCAGGTACATAGCATACATAAAACATTTCTGTGTGGGTG